CCTCCTCCTCCTCCTCCTCCTCCTCCTCCTTCTTCTTCTTCTTCTTAATTCAGAAAAGTTCAGCTCCCAAAGACAAGATTCAACCATGGACAGCCAGAAAGCCACCTCTAAATTGAAGAATGGGGCATAATATGCAGAATTATGGGTAATTTAGGATGATGCTTCTGATGAATGGCATTTAAAGAGCCACTCCCCCAGCATCCTTAAAATCATATCATTCATTAGAGTCACACACAAGATTCACTGTTTCAATGTCACTCTCCTGATCTCCATTCTAAATGGGGATGCCACTTGCCACCCACATCTACCCCTAATGTGTACCACACATACTCATGAAGAAGGAAACTGGCCTGTCTAGTCTGTGTCCCCATTATAGTTGGTACCAAGTTTTCTGGGGAATGCCTGTAGCATTAACACTCTCTCCTTCCCTCTTCTTCTGTCTTATTGGCCACCGTTTTCTCCTCAAGGTTGAATGCAACTCTCTGCAGTAGTTCGTTTTTCCATGCAGCAGAGTAGCTTTGTCTTTGCAGAGTCATTGTGCTGTTTGTGTCTTGTAGTTTTTAGTATCTGTGGTGGTTTGCATCCTGATGCCATCTTGCTTGAGGTCACAGAGAAAGACTGTTGAAAGAGGGTAAGTGACTTTCTACTGTCAGTCACATGCACATAAGTCTCGTCCTTGACTAGGCAACTGTGGTGGTTTAAATTAAAATGGCCCCTGTAGACTCACAGGGAGTGGCATTATTGGAGGTGTGATCATGTTGGAGTAGGTGTGGCCCTATTGAAAGAAGTGTGTCACTGGGGATGGGTTTTGAAGTTTCAGAAGCTCAAGCTGGGTCTAGTCTCACTCTCTTCCTGCTACCTCCAGAACCAGATGTAGAACTCTCAGGTACCTCTCCAGCACCATGTCTGCCTTCATACTGCCATGTTTTCCACTATGATGACAATGGATTAAGTCTTTGAAACTGTAAGTCACCCTCAATTAAATGTTTTCCTTTATAAGAGTTGCAGTGGTCATGATGTCTCTTCACAGCAATAGAACACTAAGACAGCAACCAAACTGAAGAAGACCAGTCTAGAGCAGAAAGTCAAGAAACTCCACTTATCTTTAAGCAAAATCTGTGTTACTATAAATTTATGGTTTTGTATTATGTGCCTAGCACTCACTGTTTCATACTATTACATTCTTGAATTTGGACTTGCAGCCTTGTCTTTACTCTAGGGTGAGGTTCATTACTCTGGGGTGAGTTCCAGTTTGCTTTCTGTTGCTGTGTTAAAGCATAGCCCTAAACTACCTTGGGCAAGAAAGGGTTTATTTCATCTTATACATTACAGTGAATCATCAAGGAAAGCCAAGGTGGAACTCAAGACAGAAACCTAGAGGCAGGATCTGAAGCAGAGAAAGTGGAGGAAAATTGTTTACTGGCTTCCTTCCTCTAGCCTGTTCAACTCACCAGACTCACCAGCCTAGAGATAGTACCGCCCACAGTGGGCTGAGTTTTCCTAGAACAATTAACAATCCAGAACATGTCACACAGATCATGCTCACAGCCCAATTTAATTGAAGCAATTTCTCAGTTGA